TCTAATGTCCACGGTGCTTTGTAATCTCTAAATTCTTTCCTGAACTAGAAAAGTCAGTTTTTAGGATTCTGTGTTCCAAAGCAGCCCTACCACCGTGCCTGGCCTTCGTTCTGCCCGAGGGCTATGACGGCTGAGCACAGGCTGCCTCCTGTTCCCCCTGACCTCCTGTTGTCAGCCCTGGGCTCTCAGTCTTGTTGGGCTCAGTCCAGGAAGCAGCTGCACAGACAGCTCCTGTGCTACATTCTCACATCAGAAGGCCAGGCCTGGGTGACCCGCAGGGCCACCTTCTCCAGAAGACTGTGTGGGGAGGCTGAAGGAAGACAAGTGGGAATGGGTTTGTCACCTGAGGCCCAGAGAGTTCCAGAGACATGAACTTATTGTTGAGAAGACAGCTGGCTGTTGTTTTGTTCTTTTCAGGACAATAAATAAAGCTTTCTGTTGCTATGACGATGTCTGAGCTGCCAGAGGACCTCTGAAGGTCCCTCCTGGAGCCCCTGGCTGGGCTCTCAGCCTAGAGAGGTCATGGGTCAAATGGAAAGCAAATTATTTGCACAGTCACAGCTAATGAATAGCACTGGACATGGGACTTCCTGACGCTAGTGCTGTGTGTGCTCCACCCATACAGCTTGACTGAAAAGTACATTGTTGTGTCTCCCACAAGGCAAAGCCGTTGGTTGTACCAGGCCTGCCTCAGAGGCTAAGCCTGGCTCACTCACCTCATACCTGAGCAATCAGAATATCTTCCCTATCCAAAAGGGCCTGCCTTGCTTTTTCCCTGTCAGGGGTTCCTGGCTGGTGGTCCCACAGCCTTTATGATTCCTGGGATGTTCAGGGTCAACTTGTAGGGAGTCTTTAGAAATGTAATATGTCCAAGAGATGGGTCCTGTCTCTGTTTAGACCATGCTTCCCATGCATAGGCAATACAGAGGCCAGTTGGTGTCCTCCTCTGGGAGCTCTCGAAACGGTTGGTTTCTTGTGGGGATCTGGACAATGGAGCAAAACTGTCTTCCCAGATGCCTTTCACAGGCACATCCTACTACCGTGAGTTCACAATACCACCACCATGTACCACAGCCAGACCCATGCACCACAACCCCTGACCCAAGCATGCACCACTGGGATGGGTGGGCCTGCTAAGGGGAAGAATGAAATCTACTACCAGAGTGGGTGGTGAACGGGACAGGAGATGATGAGAACAAAGATGTCTGACCTGCCAGAAGATCTTAAAAGTTATTTTTAAACAAATGCAGAAGCTCCAGACTTCAGTTTCTTAGATCTTTGCTCCCTCGGGATGTCTGCAGTGTGTTCCTTTGATATGGAAATGCACCCATTGATCCCTGCTGGAGGACCTACACAGCTTTGGACTCAGGGAGGCAGCCTCAGGTTGAAAGAACAGAATTCAGCTGGCCTCTCTTCCCATTGCCTCACCTCTCTGAGGAATCTGGGGTTGTGTTTCTTTTCCAGCAGCCCCTCTCCCATCTCATGTTTTTTTCCTAGTGCTTGAGAGAAATCTCTTTGTTTTCAAAAGCAAAATAAATGAGTTCCCAGAAATGGCTGCCATGCTCCTGAAAGTCCATATGGGAAGAAAATGCGGAAGTCTTCAAAAGTCAGCCTGAGCGGGAAGATACACGCCTGGGCCCATCATGAATAATTCCGCGCTCTAGGTGGATCCAGCCTGGTGTTGAAGTGGCTTATTATACATTAACCAATTAACCAAAGGAAGGTGCTGAGCTGAGCTGCAGGGCGCTCACTAGGGACTTGTCCTTGTCCTCAGTGTCTAAGCTAGCGAATGTGCGATTTGGAGGCTTTTATATAATGAGATTAAAAGCAGTTTCCACTTTGGAAGACTATGTACTTACTTAACCATGAATTTCTAAATCTTCCTAGGATACCATGTTAGGGAAATAAAAGGGCAAAGTAAGCATGATACCCCTGTGGTCTGTGATCTTTAGAGTCCTAAGATGATAATAGAGAGCCGAAAGGCTGGCTCATCTCAAAATTCAAAACAAGATTACAAATGTAATTAATATTTAATTTGTCATTACATCATGTAGTCTATAGTGATTCAGCACAGAAATTATATTTTCCCAGATTTATTAGTGTAATTGGCACACGTGTGTTGAACACATTTACTACATACATTATGATATGTGTGTATATAGTCTGAAATTATTAGCATAGCTGGCTAATTAACCTATCACCTTATATGCTAGTCTTTATTTTTGTGTATCTGTAGAGATCAAGTCTCAACCAACTTCAAGACAATATGCCAGTCACTATACTGTTTATAACTAGAAGCTTATACCCTTTGGCCAATGTCCTTCCATTTCTATATCCTTCTCAGAAATTGGCAGGTACAATTCTAAGTTTACTTGTTATTTCCATAAATTCATCTTTCTATATATTTTACATGTAACTGAAATCATACAGTACTTCTCTGTCTCTAACCATGACACCCTTGTTTCATCTAGATTGTTGAAAATGGGTGTGTGACCTTTTTTACATGACTAAGTTTTGCTGTCATCCCTCCCACCGTGTGTGTGTGTGTGTGTGTGTGTGTACCATAACTTTGTTCTTGAAATGGAATTTTACTGTTTTCTAGTCTAGGCTTGATTTTCTGGGCTCGCAAGATCCTCCTGCCTTGGTCCTTCCAGTAGCCAGGACTATCGTTTGTTATCTCACAGGTAGTTGGGTTGTTTATATTTCTTGCTATTGTGAACAATGCTCCAGTGAACATAGGCATGCAGATGTCTCCTTGAGGTTCGAATTTGGTTTCCTTCAGATGTGTACCCTGGGATGAGCTTGTTGGATAGCACGTAGTTCTTCATTTAATGTTTGAGGAAAAATTACTATTGTCTTTTACAGCATTTGTACCAGGCTGCACTCCCTCTGAGAGTGCTCGGACTTCTTCCTCTGCATCTTCACCCACATTTGCCATCTCTTACATCTCTAGTCTTTTTTTTCATTAGAGCCGTCTTAGCAAGAAGGTGGTATTGCACTGTAATTCAATGATGTAATTCCAAATGGCTAGGGAAGTTAAGTGCCTTTGTGTGTCCTCATTGGGTGAGTATTTGTAAAATTTTTGTGCACCATATGCCTGAAATGTCACTTGTCTAATAAATCATAATGAAGGATCTCTAATGGTTAGGGTACCTATACTCTGAGAAGGATTAAACATTGGTCCTGCTACTGGAGAGGAGTGGAGCTATAAAATGACTGGAAACAGATTCTGGATTTTGTTCTAAGCTTTATTTCAGATTCTTCATAAGATTTAGAGGCAAACTCTTAACCTCTCAAAAGTTTTATTTCCTCATAAGAAAGTAGCAAAAAAAAAAAGACACATAGAATTTTTAAAGAAAAGTCATTTTGTTCAGTATCTGGTCCCAAGAGAACTCAAAAAATTTTCCATCACCATTAATGTTCATCTGTTGTCCAAAATTGTTTGTTTTGTACAATGTTTCTAAGTATGTGGTGTTATCCTGGATTTTGTCTGAGGTTTTAGGCTGTCTCCCCAAATCAAATTTATCCCTGAAAGAATAAAAATTAACCTTCACAAAGAACAGTTGAAACTTCCTGCTTCATATTTTAAGGAAAAGTCTAAGGATTAGCTTGTGAACACTCCTGCTCTATGTCACCATCACTGCCTCTGCATTTGATTGGTTTTGCCTAAAAAGCAAAAGCTTGGACAAACCAGGTGAGTTGTCTTTCACTTTCCCCAGGAATGACATTTAGGTGTCAGATACAGTTACATATGGCACCCAAAGTCCATGAATCAATCAGTAAGGCTCCAACCCCAAACTCTCTGAGTTTGCCACAAGCACACAATTCTGCACATGATCTCATGTGGTAAGTTCTGGTCAAAATATAGATACTCTGGGGGCTGGGCATCTAGGTTAGTGGTAGAGGGTGTGCTTAGCATATTTAAGGGCTCAAGTTCAAGCTCCAGGGTCACCAAACAATCAAACAAACAAATAAATAAACAAATGCACTAAAACCCTGCATACATTTTCCTCTGGTCTATGTGTACATGGATCTTAGGAGTCTTTTCATCACCATCACATCTCATTATATACATGTAAATAGTAATTCTGGTACCTAGCATTTTGCATGCTATAGAACCTCTGGTGTTTTGTTTTGTTTCAAACAGGGGTTCACCAGGGATCCCTGATTGCCTGAAACCGGCTATGGACCAGAATGCCTCAAACTCACAGAGATTCACCTGCCTCTGCTTTTACTGGGATTAAAGTCTTGCACCACCCCTCCCAGCTCCAACCTGTATTTTTATAGAGTGCAAATGTCTGCAGCTCTCTAGGTCTCATGAGCCTTCTCATTCTTGTGTCCTTACACAGCCAGAAGCCTCTGCAGACTGACCTGTGCTGATGGATGTCCTTCTACCTGCAGATGATGGGAGCCTTGCGCCATTTGCTGTTTGCCGCCGTGTTGTATTGAAGGGCCCATCTGACACAGGCAGGCACTCCAAAAGGACACTTCAGTTTTACTTTTGTTTATTTGCCTTGTTTCTTACTTTTCTATGACTAAATTAAATGTAGGAACTCTATGTTTATTTTCCTTTGTGAAAATGTATTTCCTATGTGGGGCATAGTGAATATTCATGAGCTGTAAGTTGAGTGGGCAGTGGATGAATGCATAACAGGTAATTCAAGTCTCAAAAATACCAAGATTATGTAAGAGCCATAATCTTTCTATGCATATACAGCTAATGGTTCACAACCAATGCTGGACTATTAAACATGGGTATTTTTTGTTTGTTTTAATAACACGATTCTCTAGAATCCAGTCCCTTAATTTTCTCTATTACTTCTTTATTGACACATCTGCTTTCAGGCTCTGAGGATTCCGTTCTGAAGTCAAGCCTCGGGTCTTTCCTTTACTTCCCTTGCAGCCATGGGAAACTAATCTAGGGAAATAGTCAGTAGATAGCATTTGTCAGTCCTTGAGATTGTCTGATGCATTTATTTTCTGTCTTCCTCTGTAGGACTCATACTGACTTTATTCGCTGGACTGTGGAAGGCTTGTAGACCACCATGACTCCAGTATGGAGCCAAGGCCAAGACTCCTTGTTAGTAGTACGGGCTGTCATGAATGTTGGTGTACACTGCGTACAGTGACAGATTTGGTTTCTGATGTCTATTGGATACACGGTGATGTCAGCATCCTTCTGGAAAACCAGAAAGGTAAGCACAATGTGCCACACAGCTGGAACAGGAAGTGTGCTTACCTTTTTGGATTTATATCCACCTAAGGCTCTCTTCTTCATGCTTCTTTGACAGGCTATTGCCTCTGTCTATGAAGCATGTTCAATTCTGAGCATCAGCGCTTTGAGATCAGCGCTCTGAGTTTGCCATTCTTACAATTTCATCTCTACTAGCATCATAATGCAAAAGCATTTTTTAATGCCAGTCATGGCAGATAATGGAAGATATGTCACTCTGTCTCCTGATTCACAAAAGAACAGACTTTTTTTTTTTTCTGGTCCCCTTAGGCACATTCTAGAGTTACTTGATGCCCATGGTGCTGATAAGGATGATAATTTAGCAGAGGCAGCATTAGGAGAGAGAATTGGGGTCCTCCAGGCAAGCTTTTGCCCCCTGTGTTATAAAATCAAAGAGGGCACAGTTTGCTAATGTGCTTTATCTTGCCCATCAGCTCTGGGAACGAACTCCACAGGGTTATCACAGTTACCAGGCCTCCTCATCTAAAGAGATACAATCCTAGGAGCAGCTGCCCTTTGACCTGCTTGCTGCCCTGTCCATTACTCACCCTGTCACTGGTCTTGGATCTGGCCCCTCACATGCTGGGAACTCTGCAGTCTGGAGTAGCAACAGGATGCTTGCTGGGTGAGAGAGTAAGGGTGGAGACTCATGCTGGGAGGAACATGCAACTTAGGGCAAATGCATAGCAAACACAGCTTTTGAGCCCAAGGCCAGGGGTAGAGAGAGGGAGGCCAGGTGCTCTCAGAGCATAGGGTGCCTGGCCATTGAGACCCAGGCGCTAGGAAAAAGTGTGGCTTTGCCAAAGCAAAGTCCAGGCACGAGGACAGTGCTGACTGATGTGTTGGTGGTGTCGGATGTTGTCTGCTTCTGCTCCCCACTCAGAACGAGCAACACAGAGAAGTCAGGGTTCCCCAGTGAGACAACTGAACCTCACAGACAGCCCCCTGTGCTAGTACCTGATTTGACAAGAGCCATTCTAGGTAAATGTAACCACGAAAAATTCCTTACCAAATGTCAGGTTTGAGAGTTAGCAATGTACCCTTCCAACCAGGGTATGTGCTTTTGATAGCTGTATCTCGCCTTGTTCTAGGAAAGTAAATGCAACATGAAAATGGAGGAGAGAATAGGACAAATTAAAGCACTGGCTGAGAGTATCAAAGGCTTTGGTAACTGAAGGAAGAGGAAATGATAAAGCTAATATTCCAGCATCAGCAGGAACGGTTTTGCAGCAGACAAACAGCTTCAAGCCAGTTTCTCCAACACTCTAAGCTTCGTGTTTCCATCTTGTAAGGGGAAGTGGAAGGAATGGCCATGAAGGCAAGTCCAGAAGGAAGGAGAGATGCCAGAAGCAGAGGCACAGGTTACTGCTCTCCCCATTCCCCAAGGTGTGAGAGCTAAGGCACCATGCTCCCTCGGGAGGTGATCTTCTATGGAGAGCAAACCAGAGGTGGAAGGAAAGATGAGATCTTAGGAAGCACACAAATGCTGCACATCTATGAAGGCTATGGCTGCCTTCCCAGACCTCTGCTTACCAGGCTTTTATCTTCTGAGAGTGCACACCCCAACTGCCAAACGCTGTGACATGAAAATTGCAATTATCAGGCCTTCAGCATCCTGAGAAGCAAGGAAAGGAGGGTGTGTGTGTGCACGTGTGTGTGTGTGTGTGTGTGTGTGTGTGTGTGTGTGTCTCCAAGCCCGGTATCCTCAGCTTTGACTTCGAACCTCATAGTCAACCCAAGCAGCCAACTGCCTTTTGGGGGTCTGCCAATCACATGGGAGCTCTTGGTTCCCTGGGTCATTTGAGAGTGATCAGACCACTAGACTAGGCCACGCTGGCCATCACTGTAGCACTTACTGGGATAAGTCAGAGCTGGTGGACTCGGCTTGACAAGTGGCTGGAGAGACGCTTGCAGAGCGTGGTAAACAGGACATGGAGGAAGTTGGGAGCTGCACTTGAGTTTTTATGCTCCCCCCACCCCATTGTCAGGAAATGTGGGGAGCTGACAGCTACAGAGCACACAATGATGCAGCGGGAAATGGCCTTTATAAATACAGGGGTCAGGGCCAGCCTGGCAAACAATACGGGAAATGATGATGGCCGGCAGTGGGCGTGGGGGGTAGAGAAGGCTGAGATGATTCTATCAGTGACAATAACTGAACAGGGCGTCGTGGGGGTGGCTGAGGGAGGTCTGGGGGTTGCGAATTAAACAATACAAGTTGCCAGGTGACTCAGTAGCCACAACAGAAGCCGGTGGGGTCTGTAAATAGTTTACAGTATGTGCCATTGTTCCTTCAAGAGCCTCTCCCTGGCTTCTACGTGTCAAAGGTCTCTCTTTTGCTCACTTGCCGGAAGCTAGTCCAATGTTCAGAAGATGCTATTCCACCCCACTGGGAGAATGAGCTTTGGAACCACATTGCTTTGTCTTATGTTCACCTCAGAAGCAAATAGGCCACAAAGCAAGGAAGGTCTGCAGGGATCAGGGTAAGGGACCAATGTCCAGCTTTGGTGTAGTCTTCCTGGATCCATGAAGTGAATGGATGTGGATAAGCAGAAAAAGGCATCATTCTTAGGTGCCTGTATGGAGTTGCATCATTAGGTCATGAATGTAGCCTTGCAGGTAAGCTAAGACACGTGAGGAGTACAGAAGAGGCAGCATATCAAGGTGAGAAGATTCATTACTTGTCCAACATGAACTATTCTGTGTTGGTTAGCCAGATGAGCAGGAGGCTGTATGTAAAGTTTTCTAAAGAACCTAGATTATTTATTTTGTGGCCAGTCCCTAGCTATTCCTATTAATAAACTACCTCAACCGTTTAGGCTTAATTTCCACTCAGCACATGAGTAGCTAGGGAATGCCAAGCTTCTGGGAACAGATTCCACATAAAATCCTCTTCTTCCTTTTCATCTTTGCCCATGCAGCCCACGTCTGCTGAATATTGGATGTTCATATTTTATCTTGACAAGCAAGCTGAGTTAAAGAAGCAGGCATATGTTAGATCTGTCCCTGGAGCATGTGTGTTTGCACTGAAATCAAAGAAAGATAAAGGAGAAAAGTTATCATCACATTCTATGTTTAATCCTTCCAAATATTTAGAAAGTAGAATGATTTCCATCACAAAAACACTGGCTACATGTGAATAGATCTTTTGCAGAAATTGTGCGCTATCAGTATTGGTATATACCATATACCCTATACTGCTTTAAAGTATTTCATTACAAATTGTACGTGTATGTATGTGTGCACGTATGTGTGCACATGCATATGTTTTGTTTTTGTTTACTGAGTAATTAATTACCTCATGGTTATCCATTTCTCTGGACTGCAAGCTTTCCCAAGGTAGATCCCATGTTCCAGTTTTCCATGTGGGTTCTCAGTTGTCCGCATGGCTGTGACAACAGTTCTCCACAACCAGAAAGGTCATGCACTGTGCCTGGGTATTCGCTTTCCTGCACTTCTGTAAGGAGGACTTCTTTAGGGGGACAAAAAATTGCTTTTCAGCAGAAAACCATATTGTGCGAGGAAAATAAGTGTATTTACTTTAATCCATGCAATGTCTTGAGAGCCTGTGCAATTGGACCTTACAACCATGCATGAGCGAAAGGCATTCTCTCTTGTACTCTTCTTCTCTCTTTAGTCTCTCCAAGAAGTCAACCTGGAGCTGTGACTGTGGGTACAGGTGTATGGCAGGAACCTAAGCAATGCTGTTCAGGTGTGAGGATGTCTTTACCATGTGTGTTGTAAGTTACTTTTCTGTTGCCGGGCTAGAATACCATGACCAAGGCACCTTACAGAGGGTAGGATTTATTGGGGCTTTCAGCTCCTGAAGGAGAATCTATAATGGTGGGAGATGCCCAGCAGTAGGTCTTGGAGTAGGAGGATGAGAGATCACATTTTCAACTGCAAACATGAAGCAGAGATTGTTCACTGGAAGTAGGATGGGGCTATAAACACCCAACACGTATCCCCATGATGTCCTGCCTCCAGCAAGGGTCCACCCCATGAAGGTTCTACTTCTTCAAACGGCAGCCCCAACTGGAGACCAAGTGTTTAAAAATATGAACCTATGGGGGACATTTCTTATTTGATCTACCGCAACATGAATGTCTCCAAAATGACAGGACTTGTGTTCTACTTCCATATTAAAATGTTATTGTCAAACAGTATGCTATTTCTGCTGCCTGTAACAGCCTTTTACATCTGAATTTATAGCAACTCTTTATGGCACGATTTTCCTATATTTTTGATATAATGTTGTATTATTTTGTTTATCGTAGGCTTCAGGGCAACAAGGGTGTGTGCGTGTGGCATGTACACATGCATGTCTGTATCATATCTATAGGTATGTAGTAGGTTATGTCATGTGGGTAGTGAAAGCTTATTCTACATTTGTACAACGATAAAAATCAGACAATGACATACTTCTTAGAATTCTTCCATTCATTAAGCAATATATGAACATAATTTGGTACATATGATTTAAGAGGAAACTTGACAAGATACCAATTTTAATTTCAATGAGTGTAGGATCAGAAAAATAAAATCTTAAAACTTAGCTCTACCTTAATTCTAACTTTGATATTGCTGGTAAAAATACATTTTCTAATAAATAATTTTTGTTAGGTATTTTTGAAGTCTTAAAATATTTGTGTGCTTTAACCTAAGAATTTTATATTGAGAATTTCATAAAAATGTGGGCAAAAACCAAAAAGGTTATTGTACTTTTATAGAAATAATTTCAAAAGTGGGGCTAAATCAATATTGTAATAATGAAAGATGTTTAATCAAGTTACTGCAAATAATAAAATATGATGTGGCACTGATTAAATTAACTAAATTAGTGACACTAACATTACTTTTAATGTTTAATTTGGATCAACGTCTATTGTTTGGCAATACTGAAAGTTCAAAATATAAAACTGTATAGAGAGTATCTTCTCAACTCTAAAAGCTATATATAAATCAAAAAAGATGAAAAATAATTTAAAAGATTATTGAACATTTTCACTACATGTTGCAAAGATCATTTTTTCTTGATTTTTCTCTTTCTAGAATTTTAATAAAAAATTATGTTTAACAACCAATTGAAAATCTTGGTTAGTCTAATGTTGAAATTTCAAATTGAGATTTGTCTATTACATCCTTGGAAAGAATGAATACTTAAGTGTTGTGTAATAGAATTTTTTCAACTATGTAAGGATGTGTTGTATTTGTCTATTCCTCATTTGTTTAACTATGTAAAGATGTGTTGCTGCTTTACTTTGGCTACTTAAGGCACCTGATAGGTCTAAGAAAAAGCAGAATGGCCAATAACTAGACAGAGGAGACATAGGCAGGGCAGGCAGGCAGAGAGAAAAGGGGGAGCCAGCTAGCCAGCAGACACGGGAGGAAGTAGGAAAGCAGGATGCACAGTAAGTAGATGAGGTAAAGAGCCCCAGGGAAGCACATAGATAAAGGAAAATGGATTAATTTAACTTAAAGAAGAAAGCTAACTAGAAACAAGCCTGAGCTAAGGCTGAGCATTCATAATTAATAATAAATCTCTGTGTTGTGATTTGGGAGCTGGTGGCCCAAGAAAGCCTGCTACACATAAGAGCTTTCGATAGGAAAAAAGAGAAAGATATGGGGGGTACACCTATATCTCTTGCAGGCTTTTCTTAAGTTCTTGAAATTTTATATAAACATTACCCAACAGTTGTATGATAACATAAGCCATGGGGATCTCCCAGCTACACTGTAATTTTATGGGGCATCTATCTATCTATCTATCTATCTATCTATCTATCTATCTATCTATCTATC